TCGAATGTGCGGCATTGCAGAGCATGAAAGTGCGGGCAAGTAAGGAGTGCATGTAATGCAGTGTAAGTGCGTGTAAGAAAGGGTCGAGGATTGGACAAGGAAGCAGAAGGAAGGAGTGGGCGCAGTTCGTGGTCTATTTGTTAGGATACTGCTGGTAAATGCTATTCACATCATATAGAAACTGTACTATCAGTTCGTTAGATGAATGAGCTCGTCAATGCACTCGGCGTGCTCAGCGAGTCTTTTAAAGATTTCCAGAAGGGAAGCAGGAGTCTGCAAAGAACACGGAAATGCGGCGGAACGGGCGATGAGAACGCGTTATTTTATTAAAAGGTACTTTAATTAATTACATTTTATATTGTTTAATTTTTCTTAAAATCATCTACGAATACCTGAAACATTTTAATCCCCCTGCAAAATAAGGCAGATAAGTGAATGACAGTGTTGTGAAGTGACAAGTGTGGGTAGGGACGTAATTCAATTGTCCAGTGAGTGAGTGTAAAAATTTATAATGTGATTCTATATTGAAAAAATGCTTGTACAATTGTGTATCTATGTGTGTACGTATGCATATATATGTGTATACTCGGGGCAAGTACACTTTATTTGTACTGTATGTGTGTATACACAGATATGTACGAGTTATAGGCGTATATTGAGTGGGCATTCATGTCGTATAAGTCAGATTGGGAGGAGGGGACTGGAATAAACAAAGTAACTATAGTATGTAATATATGTGCGAATGTGTAAGTACATTTTGAAAATTATTTATGTTAACGGTTGTGTATTCAGCTCCTTATTGTACCATCTGTTGTAGTAGTAATACTAATTGTACTTTCTTTTATTGTATTGCTTTTCTTTGATTTTTAATATTTATTATATTTTGGCGAATCCTTAACGACCATAAATAATATACTGAACTCATGTTTGCGTAGTAGGAGCAAAAAGAATTTGAAAATATGGTTGTTGGCCAAAGTTTCGGAAAATGTATTTCCTTCCTCAGGGCTATATAACATGAGAAAGAATCAAGTACTATTACATAAAGCTACCAAAAACATGACGGACACAATTATACTATCTTGACAATTAAACTTATTTTTTTATTTTATATATGATTTACATATCTTGCAACCCCCAACAGAGTATACACACAACAAAATATAATGGTTGTTTGCAAGGTTGCGTTTTTCTACAGCAAATCAAGCTAATGAACTCTTCGTCGCTTTTGAATTATCCAAAATTGAAGGAAAGTTTACTTGTTAAACAAATTATTGTTGATATCTCTAAGGAAGAACGTACTTGCATGCATTTTCTAAGAAACATTGTGGGAGTACGCAGCTGTCTGTTAACGTTGATATTTACAGTCAATGTAAACTGATAGTATTTTATAAGTGTCAGGGTGCGTGCTCTAAACCAAAGTGTTCTTTATATTTACATATTTAGATTTCTACAGATTTGCAAAAAATATCTTAAGGCTTTAGCAGATCTCAATAATTAATCCTTCCCAAATAAATGTCTAGTTTCACAAAATTTATGAAACGCTAGCGGGTTGTACGAGAAAGGAACTGCATCAAGTCCCGCAGGATAGTAGGAGAGAGACACAGAGGGAAAGAGAGAGGGAGAAATGAATCCGGAGAATGCAATTAATGTTTCAGGAATTAATTTCATCGACGTAAGTAACTACAACATAAATATTAATGTTTAAAGGCAATAATGATGTGATGTTAAAATACTTATTAATAAAGTTTCGTTTTACTTTGTCATTTTAATCTCAGGGAGACTAAATTTGTACATAGGCAAAGGAAAAGTATAAATTAATCCTATCTTTAATCACATATCTTAAAAAATACAATTCAATGAATAATACAATTCAATGAATTCCTCGGGTTTTTGTGACAGATTTTTGCGGAATTTTATTTATAATTAACACTGCATTGTGAAATACAATTTATTATTAAAAAGCAATCTAAATGTGTTGCTTACCTAAATGCAAAAGCTTATTAATTTAGTGAAATGTATAAAAAATATTATGTAGGGTACCTGTGATCTGCAGCAGAAAAATGCTGTTGAACAAAACCGTACTAAATTATTTTCTCAAAAGTAGCACGCATACTTCTATAACGAAAAAATCGAATAACATCACAATAAATTAAATATTTTGACAAAAAACAGTCAATACAAATACAGTAATACCAGAATAGTGTATACGCATACGCATTATGACAGTTTACACTAATATAAAAAATCGAATAATTAAATGAATAAAACCGAGTAATATAAAAATGTTGCTGTTTCGTAGCGCAACACGTAAATAGAAAATATTTAATGATTGGTGGGCTCTTCCTTGGAGCTCTGCTATCATCGTAAGCATCGTCGAGGATGACGTCAGGCGTGACGCGCGGGGGATGATAATTCAGTCGTTACACATAGTGTGAGAATAACCACCATGAAAGATTTGAATTTTTCATTAAAACTTGAATCCGTTTCATTATTTTTGAATTTTACCGAGTTTCCGAGAATTTATAGAAAAACCACAGGCACCTCTCACAAGATTGCATAGATTTCTTTTAATTTACGCGCACATCGGAATTAGAAATTTATTCTGCATCACATCTTGAAGTTCTAAAAGTAGTTTTTACGAGGGTAATTATTTTGATGAAACTATGTGTCCGGAAAGGTGTGTTAACAAATTATTAGCACAATGTTAAAAGCATTTTACAAGGGCTAAGAAGAACATGAAAAGATAGGGAAAAATCAAGTACTTAAAAACGTTACGAAAATGCGAAAACTTCGTCTCAAATTCTTCTTTCTAAGAAACTGAGATAATTAACAATATTATTCAAGACTTGAACATAAGTGTTAATTAATAAAGAAACCGCTAAAGAGATTCGATAGTCGCATCAAACGTCAATTCCTAAATAAATTGATTCGATTCCCGCACCGCTTGTACAAAACATGAAAACGTAAATAGTCGTGGTCTACAGTATCGGATTCCAGTCGAAAAACAAACAATGCGACTCTAAACATCGGATGTAGGATCACGTGACTGCGGTTTTTTAGCGAAATTTTGCGGGGCGCGCCGGCGCGGCCATCATTTATTTAGGGGCGCGTCAGCCGAATATTCGGAGCGCCGGCGCCGGCACAAAAAACCAACACCCATTACAAATTAATAAATTGGACTCCGCATTCACGCTAGATTATGGCATTACGCAGCCCGTCATCTAAACGAGACCTATCAATGTTAATTACACGCCTCGTTTCGTCAATTTTCAATCAATATTTAAACGAGTCGCAATTGAGTCCCGTTAAAATCTTGGACGGGCCGATAATCCAGTAATTTGCGATAATCTCGCCTAATTACGCCCCTAATGGAAGCGCGCGAACGACGTGGACCGCGGTCGCGGTGGCGGCGGCGGAGGCGGTGGGGGCGGCGCGACGGAAGCGCCGCAAGCGGCCGCTCGCGCACTCTGCGCCATAAATCCCCTGCACAATTACTTCCCGCTGAACCGAATTACTCAGTTATGCGATTGTATCCTCCCATGTGCGGTATCGCCCAACACATGTTCCCGCGGTAGCAAGGAGCCCCCGGCCTCACCCCCTTGCTCGCCTCCCGGCACCCGCGCCGCTTATAAGTTCCTTGATACAACGATGTAAATTAATTAATTACGCGAGTCGCCCCGATGAAACAAAAACACTCGCCGAGTTAAGAGAGAAGAGCGGAGAAGAGGGGCGGGAGGAGGCGAAAAGGAGGAGAAGAGGGGGCGTTGCGCAGCGGGGCGGGGAGGGGAAAGAAATGTATTACACGCGCAGTGTAGACGACGCGACGGGCGTATATCCTTTCCCGTATCCTGCGCCCTCCGCCGCGGCGGCGCATCTCTGCGGCGGCGGCGGTCCTCTGTCTCCCCCTCTCCAGCATCCTTCCCCTCCCTCCCTCCCTCCCCTGCCCTAGCGCGCGCTACACAGAAGCGGTGTCACGGCGCGCGCAGTGCGGCGCCGACGCGGGCCGCGGCAGGCCGCGGCGGCAGCGGCGGCCGCCGCCGCTCTGCTCTCACTCGCGCTGACCTACTGGCGCACAGGCAGTTCGGGCGTGCCGGGAACACAGCGGATCGGCCAAGGCTAGCAGCGCCATCGGTGAGCGCAGGGGGCGCCGTGGGCACGGGCGCTTGCGGCAGACACAGCCCAGCGGCGGACAAGCTGCGCGACGGCGGCGGAGGCGCGGCGGCGACCGAGCCCTCCCCGGCGCCACCCGCCGATTGCGCTGCGCAGCGCGAACGCCGCCCGCCCGCCCGCCCGCGCGGCCCGGCCCCCGCGCCCCTCCCCGCGCCGGCCGCGGCTCCCGGCTCGGGCGCGGCGCGCCATCTATCGGCGGCACAGGCGGCGGGCGCGCTCCAGGACCCAACTATGACCGCCCAGCCCGCGCCCCACCCGCGGACACACCCCGCCCCCGCGCCTACGTGGAGGCCACGCAGCTGGCAGGCACCCGGCAGCCACAGCGCGCCCAGCGCACCCGCACCGCCATTGTGATCAGTGCTCGCGGAGGGGAATTCGGGGGCGCGTACTTGTAAGCATCTGCGAATCCCGCGTGTGGTGGTAGCCTCGTCTGCGGAAGCGGTCGCGCGCGCCGAGGGACGCATAGGCCGCCCTGGACGGGCGTCCCGCCGCCACATGTCCAGCGAGGGCCGTGCGCGCGCCCAGGGAGCCCAGCCGGGCCGCCAGCGGCTAGACCGAGCAAGGACGCGCACGCCGACCCAGCCGAGCACCTATAGAAGCTGAGCGAAGGGCTGCACGGTCCTCCTCTCTCGACGGGTGCCGGAGTCGGAGCGCGAGGGCGTGGCCGGTAAAACTAGGCGCAGAAAGGACTAGTGCGGAGCGGCGGCGCGCGCCGGCTGCTCGCGTAGTTCTAGCCGGCGGCGCCCGCCTCGGCCTCCCACTGCCGCCGCCGCGCCCTCCGCGCCAGCCACCCCGCCACGCGTCACTGAACAGTATAAGCCACGAATCGACCTGCCCGGCCGAGAGCATCGCCTTCAAAGTGAACGCTTCCGATCGAATATTCGAAGGCCGAGTCAAGTCGAAGAGCCCCGTCGACGCCAGTGGCATGTACAACGTGACTTTCGGGGTGCACAAGGTGCACAAGGGGGAGGAGTCGGACCTGAAGAACCAGCACCAGGGCGTGCGCCTGCAGTTCCTGGACAAGGCGGCGGCGCCCGGCGCTGGCGGCGGCGGGGGCGGCATCGTGGGCTGCCAGGGCGTCGGCAGCGTGGTGCGCGCCAACATCCGCAACAACCCGCGCTACCTCGTCTTCGTGGAGCGAGTGGCGCCGCACGTGTTCCGGCCGCGCGCCGAGCCGCTCGTCAAGACCAAGCAGACCATGCAGCAGGTGCGGAAGGCCATCGCCTGCGGAGGTGAGTCCTCGCCGCTACGCGACCAACAACGTTGGGCTCTTCAGGCGATGCGTATATTTGTGGTGAAGTTTCCTTCGAACACAGTAGTTATTTACTCTGGAAATACTTTGTAACACATACCGTATTTATCAATGTCGGTCGCGACTGCGAGTTTTGCGAAATTAATAGTCATAATGTTTTAACGAAAGTTTAATCACGCGAACGATTTTGCTATTTCCATGTAATATTCTATAAGCGATATCACGAAATTACGAATCTCTCGAATGAACACAATCACACAACACAATAATTTTATTTTAGGGAAATATATATTTTACAAAATATTAAATTTCATGTCGTTAAAACATATGACACAATCTGTCACTAATTATAAAATAATATTAAACTATGAACTTTTGAACCGTTCAACTGGGTTATGAAGTTCCGATAAAAAGAATTTATCTTCGTCGATTTCTTCATACATAAACTGTAGTAATGCGCTAAGGGTGCAAACTTTGGAGTTTTCTTGCTCTCTTTCAGTATTCGTATTTAGAGCGGAGAATTACATTTGCCTGCATTTGTTTGCAGTTTTGAATACTTTCATTAATTTTGTTGTCAAGCTATCGTCTCTTTTAATCGTCCTGGGAACCGAACAGTTGTGAATATTCTTTGCAAAGACAAATGAATGAATGATTCGAATTGCTCTTCCGCGAATAGCAGTGGAATAAATGAGGTTTTATCCTGATGTAACTACATAATTAATCGACAAGAATTGTTTATATTTTAGATTTTTTATTTTTACACATTTTTTTTCTAAAAATGTATTTTGTATCTATTCCGTAAACATTCTCGTTTTCCTTCTTTTATGCCGTAGTTTGTGTTTTTTTGCCAGTTTGGAACGTTTAATTAAAATAATCTTGATTGAAAATAACTTACTTAAATGGAATAATTAGGTTCTTAAATTTAAATAATTAACTAGTTTCTACACATTTACGTGTTTATTTTGTCTGTATTTACATTGTTCTCTGTTGTGAAACAGCTTCTAACAACGCGCGAAGTTTGGTTAATTGAATGTAATGGCGTTAGTCGGTCCGTGAGTCGTCTTCAATGAATTGCACTTTCCCTCGCGAGTGTACCGATGTTGATGAGACACATTTAATTTGTCGTTTTGTTCGTATTACATTAATTGTACAACAATTTTCTCTTATATAAAGAAATTATTTTAATACAATGTTAATATGAAGGTATCTTTGAGTAGTAAATTTCTAGTATAAAAGTACATTACGAATTTTATTATAAAGGAAACGAAAACGTATTTTTACTACTATAAACTTGAAACTTGATAATTTATTCGCCACCTCGTAAAAATAAAAATAAAATCTCAATTACTTAATATATATTCATTACAATTTACAGTTTTATGCATTTTGTGTGAGTATATTAATTTTGAATTATATTTTTTCAATTAAGCTACACATAAAATTGATAAAGAAATTAAATTCAACAATTACACTTGTACATTAATTACTGCCCTGTAGTGTTGTTTCAGTATGTAGTAAAATTAGGAAAAGGAAAATTAATTTTTTTTTTAACTAGAGTGGTTTCAGGATAATATTTTACATTCATTGTTCGATAATATGTGTAAATTAGAATTTTGATATGTCATTAAGAAATTATATGATATGTTGATATAATAAGAGATGAAAAATTTGTCCTTAATTTAATTAAAATCCGGGCTCCAAAATGTTAACAGGTGTAGTAGAGAATAAAGCGAAAACAATGGATTTTCTAATTTAATAATCCTTTATTAGGTAATCTTAGGAGTAAGTTTCATGGGCTTGCTATTGCGCATCTTCATTTTTTCTTCAAGCGCAAGTAAGCAATAAAAAAAGCTTTGTTCAAGAGTAGCGGCGGTTCTGAAGGGTATAATAAGTAGACACACGTACGCACATCATTTACATGTTTAGTTTAAGCTGTAATAAAGGGATTTTGTGTCGTTCGTTGTCACTCAATCCAGAAATGGCGCCAGAAAAACACACTATATGGAAGTTTCATTACGAAGTTCAATTTTTAGATTCTGCCAATGGCTGCAGGGAGCTAATGTGCACCAATAGTTCGAAAGATGTTATTTGACATGATGCGGTGATGTTATTTGACAAAGTGCTCTTTGCAAAAGCAAGTGGAAAATTTGTACCCACGTCTCCGCATTTTGGCGCGTTTAGCGAGCGTCCCTTAAGACTCAACAGCTTCGTCTGGCGGTATCGTTCATCTGACAAAGTTTCAAGTGACGCAAGGGCGTAAGAAAGCAAATCTGTATTTTAACATTCATTGCTTAGGTTTCATATTTTGAAAGCATTTAAAACGACTTTCTGACACAATTTGAGATGACAATTCCCTCGGGTCTCCCGGCTTTTCCCGCCGCTTGTTGAGTGTGTTCAGTTTTAGACCCTTAGAAAGTGTCTCACGTTAAACGATCGTATCAGCCGACGGAGTATTGGCTCGTCATTACGAAGGAAAATGCTCTAATGCACGGAGTTTCATTCGAAGCGAGGAGACGGTAAGGGTTTTTACTCCGTTAATAACTATATTGAAGTTTTTTTTCATGAAAGTATGAAACTTAAACCACTTTAAAATATTATATTTTAGACGTTTCTTAAGAAGGATTATTTTATAGTAGCTTTAAGAATCGTGCATTACCCAGTTTCAGCATAATTTTTGACATCGTTCAGCTTCTAACATTTGTTAGAAGACGTTTCAAACATTCATCGATTTCTGAATTTATTCCCGTGGTAGTTACGATAAAAATTACTCTTGACTACATGGTTTCAGCATAATTTTTGACATCGTTCAGCTTCTAACATTTGTAAAAAACGTTTAAAACATTCAGCGATTTCTGAGGTTATTCCCTAGGTAGTTGCGATAGAAATTACTCTTGACTACTCGTCTTTTTGGGGAAAAGCAATTCAATTATCCAACCAAAATTTGCATAATCTTGAGACTGCGTAAATTTTGTGGGTGAGATGCATTCTTGGTATCGTTGGCTGCTGACCGTGAGGTTGGCATGCCCCACTTGCCCCGGCTCCCCCTGGCGCACGGACGCGACTTCCTCTCGCGGCGCTGAATAAGTAACAGGCGCGGCCGCCGTCCGTGAATTAGAGACGAGCGACCATTGGCAGCAAATGCTTTGGCATACTGCTGTGCCGACGGGCAAGATGCAGGACGTGGGAAGGAGGGTGAGGGAATGAGCAGAAGTGAGGCCGAAGTCTGAAAATGGTGAAAATGTACGAATAAATAGGTGAGATATAACTTTGCAGCGTGGAAAACCATTTTGTAGATTGGTAGGGACGACATTTTTTTGTAATGCACTATGTCAATGTTGCTTCAAGACCAAAGCAGACCAAATATAAAGACTATTTTGTGAAAACTACGCATAGTGACCGTTATTTTCTGGGTAATCGTAGATTTTTAGTGTAACGTACACGTCTAATAAAATTGGAACATGTAACATAAATTTAGTCGTACTAAAGTCAACATCTTACGAACTTTTTAAAATAATTTTCATGTTTCTTAAGGCAATGTTGTTCAGAAAGAAAATAAATATATACGTAATTTATAATTACTGACAAAGGTCAAAACTGCTTACCGATATAAGTCATAATTCATTTGTAATATTAGTTGAAATTAAACTCATCGAACAGTTTACTTTTTGTGTTACAAAATTAATGTAATTAAAACTTTAACACATTAAAATATAACTTAAACACATTAAATGAATCATAAGACGAATTTCCGATAACATTGAATAAAGAAATGAGAACAAACTAAATGAAATGGGCTTTCGATACTTCAGAGAGCTTCTACTACTTGGGGCATTCATCCCGTAAATGTTGTGCATGTTATACCCTGGGAGATAACGGTGTTCCTCCCCTGCTGGAACGAGAAATCTAGCGCCGACAGACATGGCGGCATAGCGTTCTCCGAGGTATCTCCCCAGATGGTATTGCCCCAGCTGGTGTAAATTACAATCTCTCGACATGCGTGGTAGTGTAATGCATAAAAGTGTGTGCGAGAAAAGGAGAGAGGATGAGACGAGGATGAATACCGAAGGATCGCGCGTTGTCCGTAGCCCTCGCTTTAGGATCTGCTCCGGCATTCGCATTGGTGTTGATCGTAGAAACCACGGAAAATATCGATTAGAGCAGTCGGCCGCTGGAAGTCCTCTCTAGATGGTAGTTGAATAGGACCTGGCTATATTGCTTGGGTCGAAAATCCGTTGGTGTGGTGGGTCTCGAACCGTTGAGGTTGCAGTTGAACGATTCCGCAACGGCAACGATATTACCACTGAGGTTTCGCAGTTACGGTTCTTTTAGGTACAAGATTCAAAATAGATCTCATTATTTAGTAAATCGGGAATTTCCGTAAGAGACATGACAATGTTTTTCGACGAAAATATGTCAGACAAAAAAAACTTTTTAGATTAGATTTTTATAGAATTGTTTAGACGTACAATTCTGTAAAAATCTAAAATACCTGTTAAAGGCATCTCTGTCCTTGAAAAAGTCTCTCAAAACAGTCGAGCACCCTCACCAAATGATGTGGAGTGCTCCAGAAGTTCTCAGCCTCTGCCCACCCCCGCCTCATTGCAGATGTCTTAAATGACATAAGTACGCGAATGTGTGTGTGATGTATACGTGTGTTTGATATTGTGTACGCAATTTAAATGTTGGTTATACGGAAATAACTACATTTATAGCGAACAATTACCGTTTTCAGTTTAGTACTAGCACATTTGTCTATGTTGATTCAGATCTTTACATTGTAAAATATTAACACGTGTACGTTAAAAGTTAGCGTTAAGCGCGACGTACCAATTGCAGTATATTTTGAAATTTATTGCGAAAAGCTCGTTGCCACCGGAGAAAAATAAATGCCACGACTTGTGCGGTAACTCTGGTGGAACGCATGTCGTACTCCGCTGCCTCTGCGACGACACGGTGCCTAATCGCCTCGTAACTTCTGTATCATCACACTCGGATTGTCTGTCACCGTGTAGCTCAGGTATTATTACTGCTGGAAGTGCCGTATTGTGGAACTTCTTACTGCAGCGTGCAAAGGACTTAAGCCTCTTGAATGCGAAGCCAGTGGGCTGCACGCGAACAGGACGCTTCCTTCTCAGGATGCGGACCAACATTCAACAGTGATAAAAGGGTTTTATTAATCCAAGAACTAAGCATCCAGCTACATAACGTAATCTGTCTGGATAGTAGTTTCGGTGCACTGGAATTCATGAATACATACGTATTTGAGAATTTAGTTCTTTGCTTTGAATGAATTTAGTTAAATATTCCATTAAAATATCTTTTTTCTATTATACTGTAATATATGGAAATCGAATATTTAGTATCAATTTATTGGTATATTTAGAAAAAAGTATTTTAAAAAATCGAAATTTCTTCATTTTTATTTGTACCACGGATAACTTACGTTACAACCCACACAAAAGTTTTGAGATGAAGATGAAAGACGAAAAAGTGAGGCTGAGTAGATGAAAACGTCGGTTCACAAGTTTGGGGCATATTCGTCCACAAGGAAGAATGTTTCCCCATTCATTACAGAATATTCCAGTTAATTTTAAACCACTTTTCCTTGCTCTAGATATTCACCTATACTTTAATAAATCATTATATTGAAAACACGATTGCATCACTTATCGTTTTCTCCGTGACAACGTGCACATCCACTACCTCCAAGGGGACACGACGCCCAGCCTGAACTTGAGGAGGGTCCTCGCAGGACGCGGGGCAGCGCTGGTGTCGCGCGGCGCTGGGCGTGCGGCGAGGGGTGGAGGAGGGCTGGGCCCGAGAGGGGCAGCTCTTGGCTTCTATGAATAGTGCACGCGTGCCAGAGAGCACGTGCACGCGGTTGCGCGTGCCCCGCCTAGACGACTTCTAGGAAGGTCCGTCCACGCAGAATCCCCCCGTCGGCTGGGTCCCTCCAAGATTCCCGACGCGGCCAAGCGAAGCCCCTCGGCGCCCAAATCGCCGGCAGAAGCTCGCGCGACTTTCCATTTCGGAAGGGACTCGACGGTAATCAGCCTGCTGATGCTCTCAGAGGAATCTGCTTCTCCAAGGGCACAGTGCTTATAAAAACATGAATCGTAAGATATAAACCTTTGAAATATGAATATTATGCGCTTCTACGTATGTTTCGAAGGTGAATTCTCTGTGAAACATCGAATAAATTATCTGTATTCTGGAGCGTTGAAGGAGCTGAATGTCTTTCCAAACGCATTGGCGCCGGGTAATCAATGGTCGTAATGTAAATTGGTTTTAATAATGAACATATGAACTCCAACTACACGGGCTACGTGCTCTTGTAACATGATAAATTCGTTGCATCACATGGGCACACATTGTTTTTCTCTTGTATGTTGTGTTTCTGATGTATGTATGTAATTGAAGTACATTAGTACTCATTTAATATATTAAATCCGAATGCGATACTCGTGTTGCCCAAATCATAATTTTTTTGATCGTAATGAAAATCATTTAATTGCACTTTTTTCAAACATTTTGAGTATTACGCGACGTTTTCTGGGAGTTTGAAAATCTCAGAAAAACTCTTCATTGTTGAAAGGTGTTTTTGGGTGAATGGAACGGTATTTTGGATTGTTGAAATTGTGTTAATGTATTAGCTTGTCATGGCTGAGATGTGTTAATAGGACAGAAATTGAGGTATTATATTTTTACGTAACCATTACGGTAGCGAGAAAGTACGTACAGTTACAACATCACTAGTTAAACGCGTTACGGTTGATGGGAACAGATTAGAAGTTATGACGGATCCAACATCCAACTGTTACATTTGATACAAAGAAAGAAAGAACACAAAATGTTACATGCAAAACAGCAGATTTCAATTGGATCAATCACAGTAAAATTAAAAAGTCAGAAACAGTTTTAAAGTATTTTTTATCTTCTTTTCCCCCTGTATCAGCGCAGCAATTGATACAGACATTAGAGAAAAAATTCCAATGAAATTCTTAACTCTTGCGTAAAATTATCCCTCTTATTACATTGGGGGTATTAATGTTCAAAATGTTATTGAAATGTGAAACAAAATACTCGTACTTCTAGATAGATACAGAAAGCTAACAACACTTTGAATGTGAATCATTATCGAAATCTGAGAACTTCCAATCTGACTAATAGATAAGACAACTGGTATAAGTATTTTATTGTTCTGTATTGATTGCCTCGTGACCAAACATTCTGCTACTTTAACACAACGCAAACAAATTAAGATTGTTCCTCAAATGCAAGAAGATCAAGATATGAAAATAGACCAAAATAATAGCACAAATCCTAGTGTAATTGCTTTCACCCTACACACTAACAAAATGCCATCCAATTAATGGCTAAATTATTAAAAACTTTCTGCCATATAATTCCAAATTAAATGCGTATATTTTGGTGTAAATGTTATTGACGGAATCAACTGAGAAAAGAATCGTAGTTCTTCATGTATTATTTTAAGATACGCCAAATGAAAGAGTAGAGTAAACATGCTTCTACGAAACTTAACTTTGACATGATGTTCCTGTCATCTAACTACTGTATTTCTAAACGGCGATTGACGGAATTCCTGTTGAATCGCACAATCAACAAGCTGTTACGAACAACTTTTGGAGAAATATTAAGATGCAAAGTCGTAATGGTAATCGTCACATACGATAAACTCAGTTTTTTTAACTTGTATACATTTTTATTGTATTTAAATACCCAGTGTTTTTTTCTTCGCGCCTGAAAAAAGTTAAGTGAGTTTTTTAGATTTAAAATTCACAGTTTCCACATTTGATAAGCAATTTGCTATACGAATATAACTTGGAAATTCGTAGTACACAATCATTATTTGAAGAATCTTGAAACCGATATGGTTTGCATTGCTCCGACTAATACAATCTGGTGCTAATCTTGTACAATAGAGCATAAGCAAATACCAGCGTTGGATTAAGGATATAAAGCATTGCAAGTGACCCACGGCTCACGCGTATAATTTATGAGCGTCGCCTTTGAACCCTTCCGACGGCCACTGTGGCTCCACATTAAGCTTTTAATTACCCGGTGTTCTCTTACTTCCTATTAAATTCCTAACCTCAATGCCAACGGATACTTTTAGAAACGAAGTATTTGAAATACTGCGTCTGAAAGATTTTTTACGGAAAGAATAAACGACACGTGGTTCTCGTCGTTGGTTGTTGCGGCACAGGCGGGAGGGTTGGGAGAGTGGGGAAAGGGAGAGGGAGGAGGGGGGAGTGACCAAGGAGCGCTTCGGGTTCCTCCTCACCCGCTTCCCACTCCTCTCGGCCTCCGAGGGCTGCCCCCTTCCGTTCGCGCAGTCGCCTGCGCTCGTGCCCGTGACAGCTCTAATTTTCCCAACTCTATTATTTCCGCTTATTCAACCGCTGCTGTTTTCAAAGTCCTGTTTTTCGTTGCGCTCGTCCACCTCCGCCTTCTGCGATTCGTTGCCAATTCCACTTCGGCGCTTCGCCCTCCGCCCATTGCGCGCTCAGCGCGGGCACTCTGTCCGTCGCCAGCTCAACATCTAATTCTTCTTACTTTCTCCCCTTTCTTCGCAAGAAGTGAAAGTATTGCAATCTTGCGTCGGAAATAGCCAATATTTGGGAAAAAAACTATTATTGCCGGGATTTGGAAATGAAGTGGATAAATCTTATTCCTACGCGAAGTAAATTGCTTCCTCTGACACGTTGTGTAGTCAGATTCCAAGTTGTGTGGGTCCTTGATATGGAAAAATGGACTGACGACAAAACGACCGTCCGTCCGTCCGTGTATGGTCAAAGCTAGTGCCTAAAATGTTCAGCCGATTTGCTAAAAGAGGTCAATTTAAAGGAACACGAAGCCCTCTGAGATTCAATCATTTATTCTGAGTTTTGGGGTATTTTTACGAAGCCTTAACAACATTTCAAACATTTTCTCAAAAATGGCGTCACGTCTTTTATTAAACTTTGTCCTTGGATAGCGTAAAAGACACTAAATAAAATGGTACAGGTCTCATTTTCGTTGCTCTCTGAATTTTCGGAAACTACGAATTTATAAATAATGCGAGAAAGTATGTACCGCTGGAGCACCACTAGTTATTTTTTGAAATACTTAAAATGTGCATTTGTATAAGAAATCTATAGCATATTATCACAGTAGCAAACGTCGACTTAAATTACCATTGTTAGCTCTAAAATATGATTGATTCTGATCATGCATAACACATAGGATTTTCGAAAAGTGAAACTGAAACACTTTAATCCAGTATTTTTCAAAACCAATTTCAATTACTATGGAAGAAAGATGACGCTAGTCCGAGCAGCCGAACCAAAAGAAGAATTGTGGAAATCTGAAGATGCCAAATGGCGGAAACGAAATGAGAAAGAACAAATTTTAGAATCGAAATAGGGCCGCCGTCGCAGAATAGATAGGATAACACGCGAGGAAATGAGAAACAGGTTGGGGGAGATGGAACGGCGCCAAGCAGCGAGACGAGGCGTCACGAGGAGACGTAATGACTCGCCCCGGGTCGCAGATACAACATAACAGGTCGAGACGAACGCAGCCGACTCAAAGAAAGAGACTCAGGCGATTAA